TATATATATATATATATATATATATATATATATATATATATATATACGCACATATATTTCACATAATTATCATATAAACACCTAATCTAATGACTGAACATGGGCTGGTTACAAAAACAATTGTTTAATGTAATTGAACCCTTTCCCTCCTGGTGCTGCACACTTCCTTCCAGCAGGCTGAAAAGAGGCCCCCCCATTTCTCGCCTTGCTTACAAGAAAGACAAATGTACCTTTTTTGTAATAACCACCAGTTGCAAAAAAACAAAAAACAAAACAGTGAGTCATGGTTGCTAAAAAAAAGTGCAATCCATCACTAATATTTATTTAAGTTGCTGTTTTTAAGTGTAAATTATATTGAATTTTGTGAAATAAAAACGATAGACTGTAAAACGTATTACGGTAGATCATTTGGAATTTTGTGCTAAATATGGCTGTCCCCTTGCCATTTATCAAGGTTATTCTCACTACTTCTCATATATATATAACTTTAGCACATAGATTCAGATTCACTTGGTCATTTTCATTCTGCAATTTAACAATGTGTGTCACACAGGGGATCTTGCAGGGTTTAAAATGTCTCAAGGTTTATATTTTGACCAATCAGTCATGTAAGCTTGGCAAAACTGCTAATCTAAAACAAAAATACACTGTGCTTTAAATATCCCAAATATTACAGTCTTCCATTTAGTCCTGAGCAGTGAAATTAGGATAGAAGATATTTTTTTACAGATACGAAGCAAAGTAACCTTCAAAAAAAATGATACAGCACAAAGACTTAGATTAAGCTTTAGTTCTCTTTTTAGCCACTAGAGGGAACCCTTTTTCAAGAATCAAATCAAACACATCTCCTGTTAATCCAGATCCACTGGTCCATTGCATTGCATTGCTTTCCATTGTCTCATTTAGCATTGTCTAAGTGGCCATAAAAAAATAAGGTCCAAGGTGGCTACAAGAAGAAAGGACATTTCTAAATTGCAATTAAGTTGCTGAAAATACGCACAGAAAGTTTCCCCCGTAACACCACCACCAACAGTAGCCTATACAGTTAAACTAAAGGCATTGTGAAACCATACCTCCATGTTGTTTTCACCTAATTCTGTTTCTAAACTCTGAACATTGCAGCTAATATAACATAACTGTCACGGATTCTGTGAAAATTAAAGCCTCAGTTTAGTGTACAACTCAGATTCTGGATTCTACCCTGGTTTTAGAGGTTGTTTTTTAAACTACGTTGCCCTATAATTTCCAATCACTGTAGATACCCTCCTCTCATATAAAAAAGCTAGTCTTGTCCACAGAACTAGTGCTGAAGTGTTTTTTTTTCTCTATTTTGGTCCATTCCCTGTGAACCTGAGAGAGACGGTGGTGCATATATTCCCAGCAGATCAGTGTCTGGCACCTACAGTCATGCAAAGTTTAAAGAGTTTGCAACCATGTTACTGACTGGATCCCATTTTTTGTCAACAGACCTTCCTCATAAAGTGGCATTGGTGTATATTTAAATTGATGTATAGTAAAGTTACTGGTTTTTCTTCTTTGATACTCTGAGAGGAGTAATAGATTACATTACATTATAGATTAATGGGAGTTTATATACTGGCATGCTTTTAGGGGGTTTGTACGGATGAGCAGTACTACAATGAATGCTAATGTAAGACCTTTTTTTCCCCACAAACACATACCTGACAATTACTGAATTCAGAGTGGTCTATTTTCTGTTTGGTCTATTTTTACACCTCTTGAAATGCTTCTGGCTATTATCTATATACACAGTGTTTGCCACAATGCAAAAAATTCATACAATTAGTCTGCTCTTACTAAAATGTGATGAAAACCAAGTTATCACTCTCTGAGATTTGGGATTGTGCTTCCTGTAGATACACATAAAGATTTAAGACAGCAGCACAAATAGCAGACTGAGCTGAGGACACAAATGTTTCACGCTAAATGTGGCGCTGATGCACAGCTACATAAGATGTGAGGAAATTGGTATGCATTTCAATGCTGTGACCAGTAAAGAGTGCTCACATTCACTCAGTTCACATTCTCTGCACATTTTCTGGGATAGATATGCAGCTGTTTGATACTGTATGTTCGCTGTTTTTCCTTTTAAAAATCGGGCATGATTTAAAGCACCTGATACACATTTCTGGTAATTATAAAATCAAGTTTAAAGGGTGGTTTTGGTCTTGAAAACAACAATTCCTGTTTAGTGTCACAATTTATAGAAAACCATAACTGTTCTAGTCAGTAAAATTCTAGTCACTTTACCTGGTGACATCTTTATTGCAAAAAAAGAGAAGCTCTTAACATTTTATCCACAGTTTTCCAAGAATAATTCACATGAAAACAAACAGAAAATGCTCAACTGATTGTTGGGAGAAGTGCTTGGGTTGTGGCTGGTGCAGCTTTGGCCGTGAAGAGAAAATGTGAGGTCATGGCTGTTTCTGTCCCATTCCCCATGCTCACAGTGCAACCAGTGTTACTCCATGCCGTTCCGCAGCATCTGATTGGCTGCAATAAGCATGACACTGATGATAAAAGCCATGGCGAAGGCGCAGATCAGGCTTTTCCTAACACATGTTTGCCGATTCTTCTTCTTAGGATGAACTGAAAGGAATTCAAGGAAAGGAAAGTGTGAAGAAGCACAATATTTGCACAATTTTTCTTTTCTACTCTGTTTCAGTACGTTTGTAACCTTGATGTTGAATATTTTTTTTAATTGAATGTCAATCTAAGGATGCACATCTCCTTCTCCCCATGCATGTGTGGATTCTCTCCAGGTACTCCAGCATCCTCCCAATGTCCAAAACATGAGTGGTATGTTAATTGCCATCTTTAAATTGTCCTTAGGTGTGAGTGTGTGTGCATGGTTGTGTGTCTGTATTACGTTAGCTCATCTAACCAGCTTTTTTATTTTTAAAAATTGTCATTATATGAAATAAAATCTCTGCATTTAACCCATCCCCTTGGGGGGCAGTGGGCTGCCATTGCGCAGCGACCGAGGAGCAGTGTGAGGTTAAGAGTCTTGCTCAGAGACCCAGAGAGGCAGTCCGTGGGAGTGGGACTCAAACCCAGAACTTCAGGATTCCAAGCTCTATGCCCTAACCACTAGGCCGCCACTCTGCTCCACCCTACTGATAAATCCAGCCAATGCATTGACGCATGTGTCGAGCTCATAAAGTAAAACCCCGTGTCGGCGCATGTATTGTTAAAAGATAGTCACGTTACTGATACAGGAGCTTTTTTTTAACCGATTCTGATGCACTAAACTGTATTTATAAGCATATTTTTAAATAGAATATCTGCTATATTGTATTGTATTGTAAAAACACTGTATAATATACTATTTCTATAAGCTTTTTTAAGGTCCACATTTGTGTGATCACTTTTGCTATAATCTTTTGCTGCTGCTCTAACACCACAATTTCCCCTATGTGGAACAAAAAAGGTATTTTCTATCTTTCTATTCTATCTTTTGCGGTTCATCATTAAATTTATCAAGAAATATGGAGCAGATATCATATTCGTTTTATTACTTTGTTGTGTAATAAAGTAGTAATGTAGTCCTCTCACTTAGTCAACTTATGTGAAATTAAATCAATTTCAAATTGACTCTTTTTTCTCTTTTTTTTGTGTCTCTTTTTTTTTGTAAATAAAAAAATTCTTTTAAAAAAAAAAAGGGTATCATCAATTCTGTATAGCTGTGCATTGGAGGTCAGTATTGGCAGTATTGCTCAATATAGAGTGGGGACTGTATAGTGGACTTCATAGTGCAATCAGTTAACTGAAATCCCATGATGCTTTGTGATGAGAGCTCTTGCAAAGCATCCTGGGATATATTTGCTTGTCTAGCGACTATCAATGCACACTACTTTTCAAGGTGCATTGTGGGAAATGTTCAGTCCACTACTTATTCACCCACTAGACATTTGAACACTCATAAAACGGCGTACTATGTAGGGTTTAGGACAGATGTTCGGACACAGCCAATGAGTCAAACACTGCAGTCTTTACCCTCCCACCTTCATATCCTTCCTAATGTGCCCCATATTAAGCCTGTCCAGACCAGTACCTTGCACACATATGTACATAGTGTGGAAAAAACAAAGAGACCCTGAAATAATTTATTGGTCCACATAAAAAAAATAGATGTTTTAATATTAGATTTTATATATAATATATATTTTTTTTCATAGTAGAGGTTAAAATCCGTTTCAAATCCCCAGATATTGATTTAAAAGCAAAATCACAGATCTGTGAATATTTTTTCAGAAGTAATTAGATTAAAGTCAGAAGTCATTAAATATTGACTCGCATCTGACTGGAGTCCAAGTCACATGACTCATGTCTGCACCTCTGCTTCCATGTGTTAACACTGAGGTCCTAACAAAAATTTCAGTGTCCAGGTGTCTGGCAATGACAGGTGGTGTACCAAGACTGCAGAATTAAAAGTGAAGGAGATGAACTACTAATCATCTGCTAATGCCAACCAGCCACACAGTTGAATCTTTGTACCTGTTTCAGTTTAAATACCACTGAAAATTAATCTGTGGGTCTGAATTCTAACATCAAGGTTAGTTAAAAAGCAGCATAAGCTCATCTAGTCTGACTTAAGACAAGAGCGGGATGGCAGATGAGTTAAAAAAACACTGAAGGAATGTTTTCCATCTAAGAAAATGTGAATGAACACTTGAGTTTAGAGTGTGGCACCATTCTTTATCTACATTTTCTTGTTTTTCTTGTGCAGCACAGGCAATGAGAACATTTCTCAGGTTGAAAGCGAAAACTTTCTAGTGAAAGAAAAGGGGCCAAGGATGAAACGTTTGGGAACCATTGCGATGATCTAATTTGGGCACAACAGCGCAATCATTGAATTTATAATATAAGCCATAAAATCTTAAATATATATTCCATGAAACTGTCAACTAAAATCAGGATAGAAGATTTTTAGAGCTACCACAGTAATTGGTTTCATTTCTATGTATTTTCTGTTGAACTTCAATGAAAAATTGAGGTTTCAGGATCACTGCCTATTTCCCCAGGGATGCATCAGTTCTTTGACTGAAACAAATATAGATGACAGAGCTGCTAAGATTGTGTGCTGCCTTGTTTTGCTTCTTGTGTCTGTGACCCAGATTATGAGTACAATGTCTCTGATGTAAAAACGTCAATACATGCAAAGGCTGGGTACAACCTTGCACAGCAGTAGCAGCAAAAACAAAGACAGGAAGATAAGAGGCAGATTTTTTATTTAATTATTTTTTATCCTGCTTCTTGGGCTGAGAGAGCTTTTGTTCTCTAAAGACAACCTCCCAGAGGTTCACAAATGAGGCAAACAAGAAGAGGCAGATGTGTTCTCCAACAGGTCTTAGTAAAAAGCCAAAAGTTTCCTCTCTGTCAAGTCCCATGTTTCAGTCTGTTAGAATCAACCTGCATCAATAAGTCAGAGTCAAAGCTTGTGGATCTAAGAGCAACCGTGAAAGTAACCGAGGTCCCATTGGATGGCAAAGGATGGGGCAAAAAGCCTGCTTGAAAGAGGTAAGCCGAGGATATAGGATGTGGGTGAAATGTGGGGGAAAAATACAGCTGGTTTGCCTTTTCCTCTTTTCAAAACGACCCATTTCCAACTTCCTATAACTTCATGGTCCAACCATTCCTCATCAGAGGCAACTGTGTGCAGGAAGCTAAAGTCTAAATCCCTTCTTTATGCTCTTATCTCCTTCTTAACCAACCCTACTCCTCTTTTGAGAGCTATATGAGTTTTAAAGTGCAGCAGCTTTTTTTTTTTTAAGCTTAAAGGGATTTCCCAGCAGAAACCCAA